ACTGCACCAGCCAGGCCGGAGGCGGCTCCAGCCACGGCCCTCGCTGTGCAGGGCTGAAAAGTGGTGTATTCGTCTCCTCTGGTTGCTGTAACAAAGCAATGTAAACAGTGGCCTCAGACAACAGAAATTCATTTTCTCTCCTTTCTGGAGGCCAGAAGTCTGTGTCAGCAGGACCATGCTCCTGAAGGCTCTAGGCAGAGATCCTTCCTAGCTCCCAGTGGCTGCTGGCGATCCTTGGCATTCCTTGGTTTATGGCTGAATCCCTCCAGTCTCTGCCTGTCTCCATGTGGCCTTCTTCCTTCCTGTACCTTTGTGTGCCCTCTCCTCTTTGAAAGGCACCGGATATTGGGCTTAGGGCCCACCCGAATCCAGCACAGTCTCCCCTTCCCTTAATTGTACCTGCAAAGACCCTGTTTCCAAATAAGGTCACATTCTGAGGTTATGGGTTGACGTGAAATTTGGGGGGACACTTCCAATCCCACTACAAGTGGTCACCCTCTGGAGATATTTTGAAGGTGAGGTGTGGGGTGGGAGGGAAGGAAGAGTCCAGGATGTCTAGGGTGATGGAAGGATGGGGTCCCTCCTCAGAGGCCCCCCTTCCCTTGTCCCAGGGCCACCAGCCCCACCTCTTCGGTTACGACTTTCTCACCCAAGTGAGCCCATTGATCTTTGATTGAGCTACTGCATGTCTCCTCAGTATTACTGGTCAGGCCTCTGAGTTAGCCACTCTAATGTTTAACTGTTTAATTCTCGGTAGAAAAGAGAGGTACCGTATTTGGTACCAGGGAAACTGGACAGGAACTTAAGAGACTTTGTCTTCAAAGCCTCGGAGCCTGTGCTCTTTCAAGTCTTTCTCACAGTTCGGTGAGGTGTGCAGGGTGCGGACCGGTCATTGTCTGGATGAAAAAAACTCAGAGGCTAAGTGTCTTAAGAGGATGGCCTAGCGGTTGGTTTCAATCTGAATTTGAACTCCAGTGGGCAGGCAAGGCCTCACCTGGGACGGGTGTTAGCCAGTGGAAGGGGTGTAGATTGTAGGGAGACATTCTCTACTCCTCCCCTGCCACCTGCCTGCTACCCGGGGATGGCTGAGGATCCAGACCAAGGGAGAACCGTCTGTGTGCATGCTGGGGGCTTGACGTTTGAGGGCCTGTACAAAGGGAGGGAATGGGCTGCACACCTCCTCCTGACGTGGCCAGGTATCTCCCTAATAAGAACGTGTAGAGAAGAGGCACAGGTTGAATTGAGCTCCTTGGCAGGAACTATTTCTTTCCTTTTTTTTTTTAAATTTTTTATTATATTTAATTTAGGCAACATATACTGTATTACGAGTTTCAGGCGTAGAATTTAGTGATTCATTAGTTGCATATAACACCCAGTGCTCATTCCATCAAGTGCCCTCCTTAATGCCCGTCACCCAGTTACCCCATTCCCCCCCCCCCCCACCTCCCCGGCAGGAACTATTTCATGCTTGAAATCTGCAGTCAGTGCACATGCTTAGTTTGTTGGCTGGTAGGTATATGGACCACGCAACTAAGAACGTCTCAGGTGCCTGTGCTACCGAAGGCTTTGGTCACAGAAAAACCAGGGACTGGATTCTTGCCCTGATACTTTCTAGCTGTGGGACCTTGGGAAAATTGGACTCTCTCTGTCTCCACTTTTCCTTGTGGGCAAAATAGAATTGCTCCTGGTACCCATCTCCCGGGTTATCAGGAGGATGAAGCAGAGAGCAGGTAGAATATTTCCTGCCTGGTGCATAATTGTACAGGTGCTGATGGTACAGTTACACTTAATGCTTTATAGTCCCCTCCCCCTTCAGCTAGATTTGAATAGACAAAGACTAGTGACCATGCTTTGTACTTCCCTGGCCTTCCCGTAAACCAGTGAATATTTGAATGGAAACCTATCCAAGCACATAGGGTGTTGAAGAATCGTGGAGTCGAACTCAGCTCCGGAGGTCTGAACTGATCAGTTCCACTTGAGCTCAGCCTCGATAACTTCATTGCTGAGTCACAGCTGACGGGCGCTGCCAAGGTCAATAGGATGGGTCCAGCCCGGGCCGCTGGTTTCACAGCAGTTTGTCCCATGTGTCCTGCATTTCCTATTTTCTGTGTATTTCAGAAGCTGTCCCATATGGTGAGGTCCTTCTTGGTCCTGACAGGCTGGGTGGGGGTTGTTCTGCTTTCAGAATTTAAGAGGCAGACCTTTTTGTTTTGAAACTTCCCATCAGAAATCAGAACCGTATCTTGACTTTTCGATAGAATGATAGCAGTGTTCACTCTCTTCACAGTCTCTGGGCAATCTCCCTTTGATCTGATCTGAAATTTGATCTTGATTGCTTAGGAAAGTGTTCTTCCAGTGTACAGTTTTTGGGATGTGGTTCCTTCAATTTATTTTTGAAAAACTTGCAATGAAGTATTCTGGTATCTTGGTAGAGGGATGGGTGCTGGTCCCTTGTGTACTGGTAACGGTGGCCTTTCCCACGTTCTTGGTAAATCCCCCCCCCCCCGCCCCCCCCCCCCCGCTCAGCTCCCAGACCAAGAATGTGAAGGATCCATGTGAGATGTTGCAGGATGAAGTGGATTTTGTGTTTCAGCAATGGTAGGGTGATAGTCAATTCACATGGAATGTCTGCCTTTCTTTTGAAAGGTTAAAAGGTTCAATACAGGACACATTTTTTTTTTTAAGTGTTTATGCCCTGCTAGGAATGGCGGACAGCTCTCTCATTTTTCTTACCAGTGGGCTAAACAAATAAACAGTCTTCGCTGTGGGTAGATGGAAGAAGAGATCTTGAAAAGGCCATAGAGAAAGGTCATGGGGGTAGGTAAGCCAAGCACATTATGTAATGGGGGTGGGGGAAGAGAGACCAGAGAAATCTCTCTAGGAACTGGCTCATATTCTGGATTGAGGAGTTGTGTCCTGCGAGGATTGATGACTCACGCTTTCCAGGTTCAAGCCCTTTTAGAGCAGGACGGTCTCCACAAGGAGAAATGGTCATCTGAGGGTACCTGTGTCAGCCATGTAGAGCAACCACCCAGGGGCAGCTCAGGTTTGGACAGGGAAGTGGTGCTCCTTCCCACCGCAGCGTGGCCGGGAGGGGCCCGGGATGCTGTGTGTGTGCAGGTGTGGGAGGGAGGCAGCAGCCTGTATACCATGTGAGTCATATGTACGCACCACACACACACACACACACACACACACACACACACACACACACACAC